GCTTTTGCTGCCACATACTCTGACAAGTCATTCCCCAAGACTGGAGGATGCAGGGGTCTCACCTCTGCCTGTCAGAATTTTCATCTTCTTCCAGCCCAAGCATGAGGCCACCACCCCCGGGAAGTCTTCTCAGATCCCTATGGGGGCCAGTGCCTGACATGCCTCAATTTTCCCCCCAGGGGCACAGTGATAGAACTGGGGCATGTTGATGACTCCCAGAATGGACTCTGTTGATGGTAGTAGCCTAGTCAAGTGTAAGCCCCAAGAGGACAGGCACTGTGAGGTTTCATCTCTGAGTCCTAGCACCAAGGGCAATGACCAACCCATTGCTGTATTTCAATGACTGGCACACTCCTGCCTCAAATGTTCCTGGAGGACTTTGTCTGGTTCCCTCCTTTGTCCCCTGACACTCCCCTGGTAGATGTTTGCACCTCCTCTTCCACAAGGCCGCTGTGAAGAAATCCCTTGTAAATGTTAAAGGTCTCCCTAGTATTTAATTACTTGTATGTCTCAGACACTTCCTACATGTATAGCCTGGGTAAGCCACTTAACTTGTTTGCCTCAGTTTCCTCATCTGTAAAATCTGGATGATAATAATAGCACCTATGTGCAGAATTGTTGTGAGGATCAAAGGAGGTAATATTTGTAAAGCACTTAGCACTGGGCCCAGCACATGATAGGCGTTATGTAAATATTAGCTATTACTATTATTAATAATAATTTTGTATTTATGTTCAATATATTTATCTATGTACCCATTATCTCCCCCAATGGAATGTAAGCTCTTGAGAGTGGGAATTGTTTCCTTCTTTGTACCTGTATTCTCAGCGCCTAGTGGAGCATCTGCCACACAGCAGGTGCTCAATAAACACTTGTCAGTTGGTCGCTATTGCTTACAGAGACATGGGGCAATTGTTGCTGTTTTTGCTGGAAGCATTTATTTTTTCATCTTATATTTGATGGAGGTCGGATGGAAATGGTCCAGGGACAGGTCACAATCTTACCTTTTTGTATTTAATGTTAACAAACTATTATGCCGGTGGATACAATCATTGTTTTTGTAATTGAATAAAAGAATTGGGAAGGAAGCTCACTGTCTGTAGATTTGCTGAAAGCGCCTTTGAGGCAGCTCCCGAAGCTTACAGAACCCCGGGGTGACAAATGCACCTCGTCTTCTTTCCACATGGTTTTGTTTTCTTTGGCTTTAACAAATGCCATCTCTTAATTGTTGCTCTGAAATGTTTTATGGGTCAGCGTCACATCCAGGTAAGCATCAGCACCAACCCGTCTGGGACAGTGATTCTGCCTCAGCGACTACCTGTCAGTGACAATGCTACGGTTTATCCATTGAATTCTCAAGGATGTTTGGGGGGTTGGACTTATCTGGGGGTGGTCATCAGTTACTTTGTGAAGGAAAATGAGTTCTGGATGTAGAATTCTGGTCACTCAAGGCAGTCTTTTTAGATATCCAGTCAAGGTGGATTTTTTTTCCACCCACAGTGATAAATCGCAATTTCTCCCATTTCCTTGCAAAATCTACACCTGTCAATCAATCTGAAGTCTCTCAGAATGACTTTTCTGTGGGTCACAGTATCAATGAGTTGGCCTTACATTGCTATCATAAATGACTGTTTCTGTCAACAAACAAACCTGTATGATTCAGCCACTTGTCAGATGCTTCTGTGTTAACTATGACTATGATGACTATTCCATGTGGGAACTCCCTTCACCAATGCAGATTGCTATTCACCCAAGACTCCATACTTAGACGGTTGCCTGAGGCTCAAGGGACTTGCCTGGGGTCACACGGCTGGTAAATGTTAGAGACAGGACTCAAGTATAGGTCTCCCTTCCTCCAAGTCCAGCTCTCACACCTCTGCCTCACATGATAGGCACTTGATAGTATTTATCCATCAAAATGGCCTAGAATTTCTCCTCCTGGGAAGGTCTGTCTCTTCTTAGCCAAACTCAGACCACTAGCAGTAGCATGGCTTGTGGGTGATTGTAACCAAAGTGAGAAGCTTGTTTGGATAAGCCAAGAGCCTTTATGAATGTTTCTCTCTATTTTGCCATTCATTCACCTGCTTGCTAAGTACTTACTATACACCAGGTTCCATGCTTAGCAATTGGAACACAGAGACAAAAAGAAACAAGACTGCCCCTGAGCCTGCCTGTGCTATGTTCCTCCTGCCTGGATTCGTCCTTCCCGAGTGTCTTGGCTGCAGAGGTCAGCGATAATGGCCTCCAGTGGCTGCACCCCTGCCTGACCTCAACCACAGGTCTCCAAGATGGCCGTAACCAGGAGGGAAGGAAGCCCTGCTGTGGTTTCCAGGACAGAGCTTGCACTGTTTCCTGTGCTGAGGCTGAGGCTGCTTCTGGGACACAACCGTCTTCTTTCTGTTTACTTTGGTTCTTGGTGCTGTCCAGGTGGAGTTGTGGGAAGCAGACCAGGAGCCCTGGGCTCTGGGAGGTCTTGGCAAGGCCCTTGCAGGCTAAATGTCAGGATCTAGGGCTGCTGGGATGCCAGAGACCGTCTAGTTCTACCCTCCCCCTCGAGTTACAAAAGAGGAAATTCAGGGCCAGGGAGGGAAGTGATTTACTCAAGATTTCATGGTCGGCAAGAAGCTGTACCTGGGATGGGATGACTTGAGCTTTGCACCAGAGTGGTGAAATTTAGAGGGTGCTAACAGCACTTGTATATATAGCCAAGCTTGATACTGAGTAACAAGAAAAGTTGGTTACCGTAGGAAGCCTGCTTCCTCCCACCCCCTGTTCCACCCTGTACCCTATGTGGGTTCCTTTCTAACCTGGTTCCATCTTGCTCACATCCCTGGCAGCTGCCTCCCATCATCCCAGGGACTCTGTCTCCTCACCACAAGGGCTGGGGTCCCTCTGCTAGGTCTCCCACCCCTAATCTGAACTGGGTTTGTCCTGTATGCATTTGGTGGTGCACATCCCCAGGTACCAGTATGGCTCATTAGGACTCTGGTCCTACCCCATATTCCTCAGCCCCAAATCCAGGACTCTTTCCCCTGCGTTATTCAGGGACCCCTGTCCATCCAGCACAACACCATTTATACAGAATACTATATCCAGGGACCCTATGAAGTGGGCTGGGATAGCAGTGTATCTCTTGAGTAGAAGTGAATGCCCATTTTGCAGATGCAGAGACTGAGGGCTCAGAGAAAAGTGAGGCAAGCTTCCAACCCAGGTCTTTTGACTGAGTTCAGCCCTCTTTTCACCGCACTCAGTTTTCTCCTTCTATACAATGAAGGGGCCAGGCTGGCTGATTTCTCAGGCCCCTTTGGGTCCTGACCCTCTTAGCTTGTGCTCCCTTATGTGGCCTCGGAAAGAGGTCCCTTAATGGGACTCATGACTCAAGGTGGCAGTTGGTGGGGAGGATCAATGGTCATCTGGGTAAGAGGAGGTGTTTACACCAGCTGGTGATCAAAGGTCAGAGATGGGATCCTATTGGCCCATCATCTCTTCATCCAGGCAAAGTGACTCACCCTATCCACTACTAGGTCAGGCCCTAGAGATGCAAAGACAAAAGCAGAACAGTCCTGCCCAGTGGTAATCATGATCTCAGACAAAGTTAAGGCTAAAAGAGATGTAATCAAAAGAGAAAAATAGGCAAACTACACTATGAGTCAGCCATAGTCATCAACATTGCTTTGGACTATTTAAAATAATTAAACAGTATAAGGTTGGAATTACAAGTTTGTGGACTTGGAAAAATATGGAAAGACTTGGACTTAAGGTCATCCACTCTCAGAGAAACAAGATAAATAAGCATAGTATGGCCTTACATAGATGCACATGAATGTATATATCTATATATGAGTATGATTATAGATATCCAAGTATGTGTATGTATAAGTAAGTGCATGTATGTAAGGGTATGTTTATATATATAGTGTCAATATGCCTATGTATGTATGTGTGTATATATATATAGATGTACATGTGTATGTGTGTATGAATGTATGTGTGTATATATGTGTATGCACACACATGCATACACATACACACCTATATGTGCATATATACATATGTGTGTATATGTGTATACATGTAGATATATATATCTATATCTATCTATCTATCTATCTATCTATCTATCTATCTATCTATCTATCTATCTATATCTGAGCTTAATTGTAACCTTTTGGGGTGGGAGAGGAAGGGGGGTAAAAGAACAAAGTAAAAAGTACACAGAGAACAAAAGAAAACTTACAAGGAAGCAAAGATGGACAGCTCTGAACACAAAGCGTAGTATTTATGTTATGGGCTCTCTTGAAATGGAAATCTATTGCTGTCTATTTTGAACCCTCTCTTTTGTTCTGCTGTGCACATGGCAATGCTTTTTTTTCTTTTCTTATTTTGTATTTGTTTCAATATTTAAGTTTATAATGTTTCTATTTCTTTTCTTGTTGTGTATTAAAGTTTTAGTATTTAAGTCTAAAATAATTTTTTTTTAATTAAGAAAAAAGAGCAGTCCCTGCCCTCAAAGATCTTCCATCCTCCTGGGTGGGATACAATGTGTAGACAGGCAAGTGAATACAGCACAACACAAAGTAACTTACAGAAGGAGAAACTGGGAATTCAAGAAGATGGGGAAGGCTTCCTATAGGAGGTAGCCTCAGAGCCAGGCAGGAAGGAAACCGGGATCCGGTAAGGCTGAGGTGAGGAGGGATGGTGCTGCAGACGGAGGAGATCATCTATGCAAAGTAGGGAGGTGGCATGTTGAGTACAGGGAGGGGCAAATGGGCCAACGGGACCAGAACAGAGAAACGGTGAATGGAGAATCTCGGGAAATGGCTGGAAAGGCAGGTGGGAGCCAGATGGCAGAGGGCTCTAAATGCCAGGCTGAGGACCTCCTCTTCTCCCTCCCCCTTCCCTTTCCCCTCCTCCTCCTCCTCTTCCTCCTCCCCTGGCCCTCTCCCTCCTCCTCTTCCTTCTCCCCTGCCCCTTCCCCTCCTCCTCCTCTTCCTCCCCTTTGGAGCCCCTGCCAAGCTTGCAGAGCTGGGGGGAACTTCAGGATGACCTAGTCCAACCTCCTCATTTTCTGCTCAGGGAACTGGACAGCCAGAGATGGGCCGTGTTCCCCAAGATACCCTGGCGGCTATGTGGCAGAGGCAGAACTCAAACCCAGAACTCTGGGCTCTCTTTCATGGAAGCCTTTGTCATGACACCAGACCTTCTACTCTGAACAGCTGCATGCGTGTGCACCCTGAGCAGGAGACTCAACAGAGGCAGCTCCTTGCTGCCCCTCCCTTCTGGGCATCTACCCAGCCTGTGGAGATCATCCTCCCTTCTCCTTTCTTGGAAAGATTGTCAAGCTCCAACTTGTCCTTCAGCCCCGTCAGCAAAACAGGAAGTGCCTCATTTCTAAACACAATCAGGAAGAAGCAATTGTAAATTTCCACCCCCATCCCCACACCACCCCCACTGCCATCTGATGTATTTTTGCCAACAGGCACAAATATCTACCTAAGTGACCTTGGGAAATTCCTTTAACCTCACTCCCCTTACTGTACAATGGGCTGTGAGGTGGCATTGTACTAGGCAGTTTCCGAAGAAAGATACAAGCGATATTTCACCTGTTGAAGGCCCTCAGGCACTTATTCAACAAATGTTTATTAACTGCCTGCCATGTGCCCTCTACAGCAATGATTAAGCACCTACTATGAGCTAGGCATTATTAGGCACTGAAATTAAATGGAACTGTCTCTGCCCTTGAGAATCTTATCATCATCAGTTTACGACACCCAGGAAACAATCCCTGTCCAGTTGGCTTATGACTCATAAGCCTAGGCTCTTCCAGTGTGGCAACTCCCTTCACCTAGGCAGAATAAAACCCAACTGTGGTTTAATAGATAAATCCTGGGCGGTTGCCCAAGGCACCAAGGAGTTAAATGACCCTTGAAGTTGGTAAGTATCACAAGCAAGATGTTGACATCAATCTTCTTGTAAATACTGGCTGTCCTTGGGGGTTTTTTATGATTATTTGGAAGTTTTCCTTATTTATGCAACTTCCAATGATTGGGAACCTGGCTTGACGTCACGAGGTGTTCAAGTCCTGCTTTCTGACATGACCTGGTGGAGTCCCAGGCCACTCTACAACTGCCCACTACAAAGAAGGCACCCACTGGGCTTGGGAGAAAGACTTCACTCACCACACCTTCCTCTTACTGATTAAAAATCACTGCTCTGCCCTTGACATGTGCAACTTCTTCCCATTACTCCTGGCTGCTTCCTTGAGGACCAAAGGAATGTGTCTTATCAGTGTGGCTCACAGAACTCAGTCAAGAAGACCTGGGTTCAGATCTGCCCTAGCCACTTACTCTCTGTTTGGGCCTCAGCTTCCTCATCTGTCAAACTAGGAGGGTCCCTCTGTGGGCTCGAAGATTCCTTCCAGACCTAGGGTTATGACTCCAGGGTCTTTCATACCTTCAAATACTGGAGGCCAGCCACCATGTTTCCCCAGAATCTTCTCTTCTTCAAGCTAAACATTCCCCACTCCTTCCATCCATCTTCTTGCTTTTCCTCCTGGGGCTCTTTTCTCAACTTTCCTCTGCCACAAGTCTGAGCTTTGGGGGACAGTGGTGAGTCATGGCCACCCCCAAAAGTGCCAAGACTAATATAACCACAACCATGCCTTAGGTACTCCTCCTTTTCCATCAGAAGTATTAACTGGACTATTCCCCAGATTCTTCAGAAGAACAAGTCTCAGAAATTCCCAAATTTGCTAGCAATCAGCACTAATTTGTGCTGGCAAATTGAATCTAGTCAAGCGACCAGGTATGGATTTCTGTTTTCTGAGTCATGTTCTTTCCCCAAAAGGTCAGGTTGTGACCCCCCCCAAAAAAAAAGGAGCTAAATGGTGCTGAGTGAGGTGTGGGAAGGGAGAAGTTGATTATGGCACACATGGGCCACGCCATCAGGTAAGTGAAGGAATAATGTGTCAGAGCATCCAAACTAGATAATAGCAAAAACCTCTGTGATGAGGGGTAAGTGAGCAACATAAGTATTCAGTGGAGCAGCTTGGACACCAAAGGGTCCCATTCATCCGAGGGCTGTGGGCTCTGCTATTTCTCTGCAGCTTCAGCCACCTCAACTCAGTGTGGATTCAGGGGGATGTCTAGGAGGGGAGATGGAGGACTGCCCAGGTCCAGGGGTCATCCCCTCTCCCACAAACTTCCTCTAGCCTACTGTTTGATTCATCCCCAAATACTGTGCTGGTGACCTTTCCATATAGTGGGATCCCTCTAAAAACTTGGGGTGCTGATAAGCACAAAATGAGGTGATTATAAACAGTGGAGAGAAGAGCTAATCACCTCTGAGGAAGGAAAGTAACCAGCTGAAGGGTGTCCAGTGGAGCGTGTCCAGGAGGATGAGGAAGACTGGCCACATGGAAGCTTTACCCTGCAAAGAAAAGGCGTAGATAGGATTGTCCTCTTCTGATAACTCATAGGATTATAGATTTAGAACTTTGTTAAAAATTGTATATGAGAAAACTGAGGCCCACAGAGACAAGAGGTTACATGACTTGCCAAAGGTCATCAAGGCAGTGAGTCCCAGAGCATAATTTAAATCCATCAACCCCAACCCTCTTCCCATTTTTACATTGAAAGCTGCCTCTAGTGATCTCATTTGGCCCCTTTTCCAAGGTCCAGTCTGGGCCCACCAGGGGAAAGATGCAGGCAGGTAGATCTCTGCCCTCTAAAAGAATGATCGGTCACCAGAGGTGCCTGGGTAAAGCAGCCCAAAATGGCAGAGGTGGGCGGGATGACCAGTGAGCTTTTCTTTCTTTCTTCTTAATGTTCGTTTTAAAAAATAATTTTGAGTTTCAAATGTTCTTCCTCCCTCCCCTACCCATTGAGAAGGCAAGTAATATGATACATGTGAAACCACGCAAACATCTTGCCACATCAGCTGTGGAATAAGCCCCTCTTCTAAGGGAGACCCTTCTTGGGTGCATGTGGGATTGGACATACCCCGCAGCCCCATCCATCTGACTTTCTCTAATTCTTTATTGGATAAGGAAATGTCCTGCACTCAACTTTCCTGTCTTGAATCAGAGAAAACAACGAGAGTGAGCCTTGCAGCTGGGGTTTCCCTGGATTCTCTACCTAAACAGATGACCCTGGATTAATGTCTAGTCCACTGGGCTAAAAGGATGGAGATCTCAGGCAGAGGGAGGGGGACCCTGATGAGGACTAGCTCTGGGAACAAAACCTGAGGCAGAAGACTTGGGCCTGGACTCCAGGGACATTAGCCAGGCAGATGGCTCTCGGCTAAGAAGGATCAGAGAATCACGGAATCATAAATCCCAAGGGGGAAGAAGACATGGAGTCCAACTCTTTATCTTGTAAATGAGGCACCTCAAGCTCAGAGGAGGAAAGTGACTTCCTAAGCTCCCACGATGAATAAGTAAAATCACAGACATAGGGCTAGAAAGGACCCAGAGATGAGAAGCTGGTAGGCCAAACCTCTCATTTTACAGATGAAGAAACTGAGGCCCAAAGAATAGAACTGACTTACCCAGGGTTACACAGCTTGAGAAGAGATGACAGAGGCCATCTAGTTCAACCTCCTCATCTGACAGATGGAAAAATTAAGGCCCAGGCAGGTTAAGTGACTTGCCTGGGTACAGCTTCCCCAACATCAGACTGACAAGCGGAGCTATCCACTATAATGGGATTTAGAGACTTCTAGCATCTGCTTCGATTTCCTCTTGCCTTAATTATTCAAAGCCACAGTTTCTTCCCTGTAGAGACTAGAAGAACAGACTTTTATTAGCCTCAAGAAGGGCTTTGTTCAGAGGCAGCAGGAAGAAGAAAGAAAGGGAAATGATGCCCTTCCTACAGGGCAGAATGATAGGGACCCTGGAGGATTGCAAAGTGCTTTATACACACTCCAACAACCCGGGGCAGCAGCTGCAATCATTGTCACCATCTTTACAGATGAAGAAACGGTGACTACCTCAGCATCACACAGATAATGCCTAGGAAGAGGTTCAAATCCAGGTCTGCCTGGTTCTAGGTCTAGAGAGCCATCTGGTTCTGCTACTGACCACCATGGTGATGTGGGAGACAAGGTTCTCCCCCCACCCCACCCCTGGGCCACATTTTCTCTAGTGTGGTATAGGGAAAAGACTGTTTCATTTGGGGCCAGAGGACCTGGGTTCAAATCCTAGCCCCTGCTTACCTATCTGTGTGACATTGGGTAAATCCCTTAAACCTTCTTGGGACTCAGTTTTCTCCTTTAGAGAACGAGGGGGTTGGACAAGATGACCTCTGAGTTCCCTCTGGCTCTAAATCTATAATCCTATGATTCCCAAGTCACTTTCCATCTCTGGCCTCAGTTTTCTCATCTGCAAAATGGAAATGCTATAGCTTCTGACCTCCAGGGCTCCTCCCAGCTCCAAATCTATGAGCTCACAGCTGCATGACCTCAAAGTCTCATCCCAGTTCTATAGCATGTTGGAAAAAAGAATGTCCAATAAACATTTCAATGTAATACGAGCAATAAAAAAATTAAGTGCCTACTACATGCCAAGCACCAAGTGATGCCAGTTTTGTGGCTATACAGGACGAATAGGAAATAATTAAGAGAAGGAAGGCACTGGGAATAAGAGGGAAGGCTTCCTGCAAAAGAGGAGATGTTAGTGGGGTTTCACAGAGGACAAAAGGAGCAAGCATGGCAGTCCTTGGGCCTGGAGCCGTGGTGGAGGGATGGGAAAAGGAAGTCAAGTGGAAAGAGAACCAGCCTAGGACCTGGAAACATATCTAGAATTTCCACCCAAACAGGGACCTTGACTATAAAAGGCAGCAGAGAATCTAGGTGACATAGAGAGATGGACCAGGAAGACTTGAGACATTTGGCTTCAGAATCCTTCCTTCCTTCCTTCCTTCCTTCCTTCCTTCCTTCCTTCCTTCCTTCCTTCCTTCCTTCCTTCCTTCCTTCCTTCCTTCCTTCCTTCCTCCCTCCCTCACCAAGAAGGCCAGGAAGAAGATCTGGGGCTGCTCTGAGAGACAAGGAAAAAACATCCCTGTGGAACATCTCAAAGAGCTAGCTGGGGACAATATGGTGGTTTTCACTGAAGAAAAAAGATAACATTTGTTTGGCACTTAAACCTGGGCCTTTAACCCAGAATGACAGCAGAGACTAAGCAGAGACAGGAAGGAGAAAGCTCAAAGCAGAGCCATGAATCAGAGGAATAGTCAGTGCTGGTCTTTCTCACCGTGAGGAAGGGACCTCATGCTCCCACATGCACACATACCCTCTTTGATTCACTCTTCTTTTTCCCTGAGCCCTTTGCTTTCTGGGGGGTGGTGGGAGTTAAAGTGATTTTGATTTATGTTCCACGATCATATATATGTCATTCTATTTCTTGAATCAAACACAGGGGAGTGTGTAGGATCTGAGAGTACTGGTGTACCAGGCTAGGCTGGGCTTTCAGCTTCTCCTTGACCTAAGAGCGACGCACCTGGCGGACAAAGGATGCTGAGGCTGAGGATGCTTGTGCGGAGCCATCTCCTGCCCTCTCTCTGAGTCCCAGGTCACAGACTCATAGATTTCCAACCAGAAGTGACCTCAGAAGTCACCCATCTAGTCCAACCCATTCACTTTGAAGAAACTGACAGAGAAATTGATTTGTTCAGGGTCACACCCCTGCAAGGTAGATACAAGTGTCCCCATTTTAGAGATGAGGGAATCAAGGTGCAGAGGAGTTCAGTGACTTGCCTCAGGTGACATAAGTAGTGAGTGGCAGAAGTGGGACTTGAAACTGGGTCTGATTTAAACATGAATTTAAAGTTAATTCGAAGGGCCATTGACTTGGTCTCTGGCCTCATCCAGAACAGCTCTGAAAACAACAGCTCCGAAGTCTCCAGGGGCCTTATCTCAGAAGTAAACTTCCTGACGTCCACAAAGGAGGAGCCCAACTGCGCCCAACTTGAATGTACCCCAAAAGGAACAAGAGGAAGGGGCCGTTCTGGGTTCTCCCACCTCTGGAAATCTCCCGCTGTAGATTAACGCAGGGCGCCCCCTCCTGGCGCTGGGACGCTGCGCAACCCCCACAGTGCACAAAGCTGTGGCCTCTTGTAAAATCCCTTCCTTGCAAATTCCCAACCGCTCTGGAGGTGGGAGGAAGATCTCTTTAGGGCAATAAAGTGATGGGGGTGTTTGAAGGCAGAGAAGGGAGGAGTGGAGGTTTAGATGTAAGTGAGACTTGGAACAAGAGGCACTTTACTGGGAGGAAAGCTCGAAGTCCTTCTCAAAGGAAGCCTGAAAAAAGAACCAGGTCCCTGAAGTCTGGAAACCTGGGGCTAGCAGCCAGGCTGGCCCTCACCTGCCTACCCCCGGTTTGTCCAGGCTGGGACTCCAGCCTCCTCGTGCCATCCCAAGGTCATGGTCGCTATGGCTGCCTGCTCAGATCTGGAAGATCTCCAAGAACTGCTCTGTGACTAGACCTCACTCTCCGTCCACGGCCCACATACGCCATGGCAGAGGTCAGCTGGGGACGCAGAAATAAAGGCCCTCGGACCACCCTCACAGAAAAGGGAGAGACCATGCTCTGTACCTGCGGGGCCCTGGAAAGAGCAGTCGGGCGAGTGCGGCAAATGCCGTCGCGTCTCTGAGGCTCAACCTTAGCAAATTGGGAGGACGGCGCTAGCTGTGAGGGCCAAAGGGGGGCTGCACAGCACCTAGAATCAGAAGACCAGGGTTCAAATCCTACCTCAGAAACTTGTGAGCCAACTGACCACAAGTAAGTCATTTCGGCTCTGGCATCTGCAAAACCGAAGGTGCTTCACTATAGAATGGGAGATTCCTCACTTCTTTGCTCCCCAACTAAAATGAGCGTCTTCCAGAAAGCACTTTTGTTGTGGTTCAGTTGTTTTGTTACATCTGACTCTCTAGGGACAGCTAGGTGGCGAAATGGGTAGAGCACCGGCCCTGGATTCAGGAGGACCTGAGTTCAAAATCGGCCTCAGACACATAACACTTATTAGCTGTGTGACCCTGAGCAAATCACTTAATCCCATTGCCTAGCCAAAAACAAAACAAAACAAAAAAACCCCAAACATCTGACTCTCTGTGACCCCATTGGGGGTTTTCTTGGCAAAGATCTTGGACTGGTTTGCCATTTCCTTCTCCACCTCATTTTAGAGATGAGGAAACTGAGTTGAAGAGGGTAAAGTAACTTGCCTAGGGTCACATAGCTAGTAAGTGTCTGAGGCCAGATTTGAACTCAAGAAGATGAGTCTTCCTGATGCCAGGCCTGGCACTCCACCCACTGTACCACCTAGTTGCCCAGGAAGCAATTTACAATTCCCCAAAGCACCTCATAAATAGGTGGCCTCATTGGCTCCTCTCAGTATCCTTGTGAAGTCGGTATTCCAGGCCTTAGGCTACCCATT